ATAGCCACACAAATAATTGGTGAGTCTTTTATAATTCTTTTTTGCTTTAGGACTGCCTGAACATATATGACTTAATCTTTTTGTTCTACTTTTCCATTGATCTCCCCTCACTTCTTTTTTAATTTTAAAATTTCGTTCTCTCTTCTTTTTATGCAGCTATTGTAGTTCCATCTGTTATTGGTGTTTCATTATTAGTAGTCATAATACTAGTGTTAATATTCCTATTCATCCTGTACTTATATCCAAGAATAAGCAACAAGAGAGGTATTTATAAGCCGACTGATGGTGACGACGGTACAATAAATACTAACGGAGTAACAGACCCAGCATTTGAACTCCCGTCTCAGGGCAACTCAAAAGAAGGAGAAATATAATAAAGTAACTAATCATTTTCATCCAGATAAAGAGATCGTGGACTATGTTGTTGTTCTTTATTAAATGTTGTTGTTATTATTTTATTAATTTATGTGGTTGTTGTGAATGCTATAATCATCAATTCTATGACTAAAATACAAATAACAGTAGACTAAGTTAAATTATTTTTAAAAATAATTATAAAAGTATATTTCTCTATAATAATTTATCATTAGGACACACCTTCTTACCACGCCTACCAATTAATATCCTGCAGTTGAAGGAGATGGAAAAACTGCAGAGAGAAAACGAAAACAACAAGCAACTTTACAAGAGTCTCCTCAAAGACTACGAAGACGCGCTCTACCAATTAGCAGAGGCAAGGCTGCACATTGACCGGCTGCGTTTTGGAGCAGACGTGGACATAAACAAGCACTACATCATAACACACTCAAAACAAGAGCAGGGAGACCCGAACGCCGAGGAGCTTTCTTTTACTAGGAAAGAGAGAGAAATGGAAGCTTGCTCTGGTCTAATAAATTCGATAGGTGATGTGCAGTCCCGTTTGAATCAATTGCATGAGGCAACTGCAAGATCTGAAGAGTCTCCACCACTTGATGCAATGAATTCCGAACTGCTTGATGTACTGAGACTTCATGAGAGACTCTCGAACGAGCTGGCTCCATTTTTAAAGGAGAAGGAAAGTGGAAATACAGATTACGTCAAGAATGAGGTGGGCTGCACTTTTATATAATTCATCAAAAATAATAATATTATATTTAGTTATCAGCATTGGGGAAACAGCTAGAAGATTTTATTACCTTGCTGCAAGAAAGAGAAAAGAGAAGAGCACAAGATTATAGGTATGACAAAAAAGCAGCTATAGTGCATGCATGGTGTTTAAAGGCAGGTTTGCTGATGCTAAGCCATATAGTGTTGTCAATCAAATTTTTAAAGTGTGGGTAATTTGTGACCTTTTGATGCATGTTTTCCACTAGAATAGAACCAAATACTGTTCCAGCATATATGTAGCATCAAGCCTAACTTATTGTGAACCCACCTTAACTGCCAAATAGTTCCATTTAACACAAGCAATAGTGCAATAGAAGCAATACTAAATGTACTAATGAGCCTTTTCTTTATATAGGACAAGTCATGAAAGCAGCTATGTGCCACCAATTACCAGCATAAAAGTAAAATTGAATAACAATAATAGTAATAAATGGCAATAATAAAACTTGTTTTTTTCATGAGTAGAACCAGTTTGACGAGTTGTATCTACACTCAACCTCTGAGTCTGCTGAATCTGAAGTGGATGGTAATCATGGAATGAGTGTTGTTGTTAAGCCTTTGTCTTCATGCCCAAAGTATAATGCATGGCTCAGTAATAATAATGATGATGATGAGAGCTCTAGTGAGAGTGATGGAATATATGGAGGTAATGCCACAGAAGAAGTGATCAATGGAAGACAAAATACACCCTCCACTGCTTGTCATAAAATTACTAGTTTGAGTAAAGGTAAAGCTTCACTAATACCAAGGCCAGTCAGGGTTGCAAGAAGCAAGAAAATGGATACAAATCCAGAGCCATTGCAGCATAGACAGAAATCTAAGCCGGCAAGCAGGCCATCTAAAATTCCGACTTATAAAGGGAAGGTATTTAACAAAGGGAATAAAGAAGCTCAGCCTTCAAAGATACCCAAATACAAAGGAAATGCTAGACAAAAGGAGAACATTGGAGCTAGTAAACCTGAAAAGCATCAAGCTGGACCTGAAACAGTTATTAAAAATGCAAGACCCCCTGAAAACGAAGACAAACAGTTAGTGCTTGCATGAATGATGCATGCTAATTGGTGACTATATATTTGCTAATGGCTCCATGAAATGTCTTACTTATTATCACTTATTATTTATAATTATAGAGATCTCATTCAATTGAGAAATGAAATATCTGATCTAATCAAAGAGCTAGCTATAGGACACTTGAATCCAGCAGGAGACAGCAGATGTAAGGTAGAGAAAGAAAATGAAGGAAAAGGAAACTCTAAAACTAGCAAATTGAATAGAAATGAAATGGAAAGAAGTAACAATAGAAAAGGAAGCAAGCAGTCAAATGGAAGCCGGAGAGCTGCAACATCAAGATTAAGTCCAAATCCTGATCTTAGCATGAGTGATAAATCAATGATGACGATTCCTCCATTAATTGCCGAAAAATGCACTCAAATGCCTTCAAGTGTATTATTACCATTGAAAACTAAAACACGCTCAAAAAGAAGAGACAGAAAAAGACTTTACCACAAGTATTATTCATCATCAAGTACTTCACTGTCTTCATTAGAAGACAGTGAGGCAGTTTTTGAAAGAGATAAGAGTTCTCGAAAGAAGGTACGAAATCGATTAAGAGATATAAAAAAGCCACGAAAGAAAAAGACTTGTGCAAAAAGAAAGAAGACTAAAGCTTATTTGTCTAAATATGTGCATAGCACTAGCAGCAGTAGCAGTTGTACTAGTATTGAAACAACATCAGGGGAATCAATGGAATCTGCTGCCTACCACATACACACAATATCTCCTCAAAGAAAGAAACTTAATCAAACAAAATTGCATCACATAAATTCTGACTTTAGACCTAGGAAAAAAACCGTACCAGTTTATTCTTGTGTTCATCCACAAAATCTGGAACCCATTTTGGCATGTTCTCATTCCTGTACTCAGGGTCCTAACTTGAGCTGTTCAGTCTGTAGCTGTGTTTGTCACCCCAAACCACCTGATCTCATTCCACAGAAATCAGTAACCAGCTCCCACAAAGTAATAATAAAATTATCATGCACCTATTAAATTTTTAAGCTTGACTTGCAACACAGCATTACCTTTGTGAATGTGAATAGCAAGAAAAACCCTTTTGCAATTTAACTTTTAAAAAGCAGTACATTTGTCCAAAATTTTTAAAATTAAGAGCTTAATCAGGGCCATAAAAGTTCTAGGTATTTGCTATTAATTTTTTTTCAGTCTATAGATTTAAGTGAAGCTGTAGAGTTAGCCCAAGGCATCAAGAACTCATCAGAAAGAATGAATAAAAGACTAATGAAGATATTAATTGGAGGAGGAGAGTGCCACTAAAACAGCTATAATTATTATACATTAATAATATAATCAGAGAATAATTTCCTAACAATAATAATTATAATTCATAATAATAATTTTAATAATTCATAATAAGAACTAGTGAGTCAATCGAAAATTAATTAGGCAAGTTCACAACGCCAACCCCACATCCCAGTCTCTTATGGTTCATGGCACAAGCATTCTTCCATTGGTGCTCCACTGTATCCAGCCACTCCACTGTCTTTAGGTAACTATTGCCATTAAAACCACCGACGGCATAAAGTTTATTGTTAAGTACACACATCCCGAGACCACTCCGCCTCTCGTTCATTGCGACGACAGAACACCAGCGATCGTTTCTTGGATCATATCTGGAGAAATGAGATATAAAGAGTCAATGTAGTTTATTTATTATGAGCAAATTTAGAAGAGGTGAGAAAAGAATTGGCTCAAACTTGATGCATAGCATAAGGACGTGTATTATGCAACAAAAATGTAATAAAAATGCAGAATTCTCTACTTGAATTTTTTGGTGAAATTTGGCCCAAGACACTGTACTATTATAGTACAGAGACTTTTCCCTAATTTTTGAGCAACTTTAAAAATTTGTATAAAATCCAATTTTGATCGGAATCAGCTCAAACTTTCTACACAACATAAGAATGTGTATATGCATCAGAATAAATCATAAAAATGGAGAATTCTCTCCTTTTCAATTTTGGTGAAATTTGGCCCGAGACACTGTACTATAGTACAGGGACTTTTGTCTAATTTTTGAGCAACTTAAAAAATTCGTATAAAATCCAATTTTGATTGGAATCAACTCAAACTTTCTACACAACATAAGACCATGTCTATGCATCAGAATAAAATATAAAAATGGTGAATTCTCTCCTTTCCAATTTTGGTGAGATTTGGCCTCAGACACTGTACTATAGTACAGGGAATTTTCCCCAATTTTTGAACAACTTAATAAATTTCTTTAAAATGATCAAAATTATCTAAAAATATCCACATTTACATGTGCATAGCATACATATAAGATCATTATGCATCATAAGATACATGACACTGCTAATACCTTTCAACACTGCTCAGTTCAAAGGTATCGTCTCTACCTCCAACAGCATACAATACATTATCAATGACGGCGACTCCTAAGTGCTTCCGCTTGACTTGCATTGGCGAAACGTTGGCCCACTTATCGGACTTTGGATCATATCTAATTTAAAAAATTAATTAATAAATGATAATAATAATAATTAAAAAAATTAATTAATTAATAATAATAATAATAAAATTAATGACCTTTCCACGGTGCTTAAAGGTGACACTCCGTCGGACCCTCCCACTGCATACAGGCAACCATCAAGTACCCCTATTGCCACACCCAGTCTCTGAGAATTCATAGAACGAACTGAAGACCAGGAATTAGTGCCAGTATCATAACTAGAAAAACAAAAAAACATGTAAAATAAATCTTTCCTACCTTTGACTTGCTCTCTCCTTCTCTCTCTTTCCCTCTCTCTCTCTTTACTTCTTCCTCTCTTTTAGTCCCTACCTTTAATTCCCACTCTCCCTCTCTCTTTCATTTCTCTCTCTTTACTCCTCCTCCCTCCCTCCTCTTTCCCTTCCTCCCTCTCTCTCTCTCCTCTCTCTCTCTCTCCTTTTCCCACTTACCACTCCACAAAGTCCAAGCACGAGATACCATCCTGACCTCCTATAGCATATATCTTCTTATCTAAGACTGCCACACCCACACTTGTCCTACAGACACTCGTTGGGGCAATATTAGAAGACCAGTAGTCGGTCATGTGATCATAACGCTCTATTGTATTGAGGTAGCTGACTCCGTCATGGCCGCCGACTGCGTATATGAAATTATCGAGGACAGCAATTCCTACTCCGCATCTTTTCTTGTTCATACTAGCAACTTGCTTCCATTTGTTGTTAACAGAATCATATCTAAGAGAGAGAGAGAAGAGAAAGAGGGAGAGAGAGAGAGAGAGTAGGAGGAGGAGGGAGAAAGAAAGAAGAGTAGGAAGATAAAATTATATACACAGTTTCTATCACTTATACATTATACACTGTACCTTTCTACCATGTTAATAGCATCCCCACTACACCAACCACCAACTGCAAACATCATCTCGTTGCTACCCATTGGTTTCCGTGGGCGTGTCCTAGTCCCTCCCATCTGCGATCGCTTCTCAGGCAGCAGGAGGTAGTCTTTCGCTTCATCTACAAGATCCCGACAGGTTTCATTCTGACGGATCAAGGGCTCAGAACTGACACGAGACACGAGATACTCTCTCTCTAGGAGAGCAAAACGAACGTGTTCTAATACGTTGGGCAGCTCTGATTTTCTCTCTGGTACTTTGTGCTGTACCCATTTCATGACAGACTCATACACTAGCTCCTCGTTTTGAACGTTGAGTTCTTCACTTTGAATGAGACAGACCAGCTCCTCAGAGCTGAGGTCTAGAAACTCCTCGGACTCGACTACCTGAAAATTAAAAAGTACTTCTAAAATCTATACTTATTGAAAATCGGTGCAAACTTTCTAAGAATATGTTACAATATGAATTTTTTCATAGCAATTTTTTTTAAAAACCATGTACTACAATCCATGGTCTTTGGTTAATTTTCTTGAAGCAATTTTGATTAGACACATTTTAATTAAAATGAAAGAAAATGCTAAAATTATAGTAGGGCTAAATCTAAAGCAATGCAACAGTACATGTACATGCAATAAAAAAGTAGACATTTTAATTTAAAATTAATATCAAATACCTCGAGATAGTGTTTAAGAGCATAAGAGTGAGCTGCATCACGAAGATCCGGACAAGAATGAGCGTCGGCAAAACTTCTAACTCCGAGACAATTCGAAGAGCATAACTGGGACTTAAGGAACTCGCAGCAAACGTCGCGTACCCACGCCAACTGTAAGAGACAAGCTGCTGGGAGCAACTCCTGTACATTGTCCTCTGTTATTGATATGGTGGCTGTGTAACAATAATTTAAAATGGCTTCCATTATGTGACTGGGTATGTCGTGTATGGTGACTGATGGATTCTCGCTCTCTTTCATCTCTCCCGTGAACATGGCGGAGAAGTAAGGCGAGCAGGAAGAGAGGATTGCTCTGTGAGCGTTGAAAGTAGCCCCTCCAGCTTCTATCCTCACGTCGATTAGTTTACCGTCAGTTCTGAGAGAGTGGAGCCCGTTCATACATTGAAAAGCATGGCTACTGTTGGTCTTTATCATCGGGGAGGAGAGAAATGGAGAGGAGTAGCAAGAAGACACACCATTTACTTGTAAACAAAGGCGTAGTTTTGGGCGGGAGTGTATCGCCCACTCCGTATACTTTAAACACGTGGTAACACGTGTGTTGTTTACTATCTATCTTTTGCCGGTTTATTATTATTCTTTTGGGGAAGTGAAAAAAGCACACACTTCCAAAAATGTCATGCATTATCTCAAAGGAATTTTTCCCGAAGTGTCTTTGGTTATAAAATTTTCACCAAAAAAAACAGAACAAGGAGGCGCGGTCAAAACACATCGCCATGACAACCACTAAACAAATGAATGAAGAAGAAGAGCAATCTCCTGACCTCTTCAAGTTAGTAGAGGAAGGAGACCTCATCAAACTAACAGAGGTCTTAGAAGAAGGACAGCAGGATCTATCAGTCCGTAATCGCTGGGATAAGAGCATACTGGAGATTGCTGTCATTCTAGGAAGAACAGAAATTGTAAAACACTTGATTACTAAAGGTGGGAATGTAAACCAGGCCAACAAGAGAGGTAAGGAGATAGAGAAAGCAAGCAAGGAATGATTGCACTACTCCTCCCTGCATGTGCTACTGTAGGTTATGCTGTTCTTCATGTTGGTGCAATGTGGGGTAAAAGGGATTGTTTGGAGGCGCTGATAGAGGCTGGAGCTGATATTAATGCAGTCACTAAATATAATGAGACTCCAAAGGACTCTGCTGCAAGATATGGGCACAAAGAGTGTGTGGATCTATTTGAATCAACAGGTAATACTAGTATAATATAGGTTACATCATTACATGCATAATGCACTAAATGTCTCCTTGCAACTGTACAGAGGCAAGAACAATACTGCGTGATGCTATCACGCAAGCAAGAGATCTCTTGTCGAATCCTGAGAGAATACTAGGCAAATGGAATAAAGATGACAAGGTACTGTGAATAGCTGGGCTTAAATTTTCCAAAATAAATACTAACATCAATTGTATGTTTATTTAAACTTTATTAGCACAAAAATTTCACATCTATGCATGGTATTTATAACAATCTCTCTTTTATGTGTACATACATATACAGTCAAAAGTTACTGGATTATGTAATGAGAAGACAGATTGGCTGCAAAGAAGCATAGAGGCACAGTCAAGCAAGGAGTCCATACTACTCCAAGTTGAAGACTTTAAGCAACGCTTTGATCCTTACTTTGGAAAATTAGACCCACTCACAGATTAATGTTCATTCTATTATGAATACATTAATAATACCAATAATAAAAATCATTTTAAATTAGTAATCTGCTTTAGCAATACACAATAATCGTACAATTATTCGCTTGACAATAAATCAATAATAATAATCTCTGTGCTCTTGATAAAAGGAATAAGATGATGTATCTTGCAAGAATATCAACGGCAAAACAAAACTAATTTACTCCCTTTAAATAGCTGGGCAGGGATCCTTTCTTCACAAGACTCTCCTGAAATTCAACGTACATACCTGATGCATTATAAGTAATAATTGAATCGGATCTATTACTTCTCATGGCCGCAACCTTGTAACGGAAGGAGAGGGCTATCCTTGAGCAGGTCTTTGAATCAAAGATATAAGCCAGAGAGAGTGCCAAGCCTTGAATATTAAGTGCAATGATAGGGATACTTTGAACATACGGATGCAAGATTTGAACAATGTTTATATCGACAATGATGTAAATTATGACGATTAGTTCAAAACCAAAGTAGATGAAAGGATAGGCTTGAAGGACTCTGAGTTTCTTCATGAGTCCTTCTATCCTTGGCTTTTCTTGTGGGTCGTAAATACCGGTATACTTCTGCTTTTCTCTATGAAGATTTACATGAGATGCAATGTAGAAGACTATGACCAAGAAAAGGGCTAGAAATTGAGGGACAAAGCAAAGAAATGTGATTAGTATGACCCCATTTTTTTCTTCTTTACATTCGCTGATATTAACATAAGTAATCTCACACAGTGCTCCAGTAGGGCCATACATACCAAGGGGCAGTGGTATCCAAACATAAAGGAGAGGAACAATTAATGTAGTCAGTACTTCAAGGACTTCAAACACTCTGCGAGCATAAAACTGAAAAGAACTCATCACAAACATATCAACTACAATCCAAGTCACAATAAATAGCTGTAGGTGTTCCGAATAGACTCCCAATAAGCCTATAAACTTGCAATAGCCAGTGTTCTCAGACACATTACTGACAATGAGAGGATGAAACTGTAAAATAGATGTCAAGCCATGAAAACAAATAGTTATGTTTAGATACATAACAAGTCTCTGAGGATGGAAGTGATACTTCTTCAAGTATATGAGACAGAGGATAAGTGTGAGACTAACCAAGACTGAGATTCCACCAGCTACAATGTTCATTATAGCAAGATGCCTAAAAGTATTAGTATCACTACACTCTGTTCCATTAGGGCCACTAGTTGAGCTTGACATTATAAGAGGGCTGAGAGCAAGTAGTATGATAGATAATAGCCAGCACTGATGAAAGATGATCCTGAAAAACAGTTTCAGCTACTCTGCTCTTTTGATAAAATCACCTTAGTGTTAAAACAAGCAATAAACATGTAAAGCTTTGAGGAGAGTCAGCACTTTATAACAAAAAGGAAGTGCTTTTGTGGTAATAGTAACACTCACAGTTGCAATAAGATTACATCTACAACTACAAAAATAGTTGTAACAGGTATTACTACGGCTTTCATAATTATCTATGCTGATATAAAAGGAAATATTTTGCCTTGTACTATCAAGTATACACCAGTAAAGAAGCATAATAGAGAAGTGAAGTCATGTTGGTCTATTTGAAAATAAATTAACTTAAATTATCATTTTGAAGCAAATGATTTCGTTTTACAATGAGAGAGAGAGGAAGAAAATGATTTCGAGGTAATGATCAGAAACAAAAAAAAAGAGAAAAAAGCATGAAAATCTGTACAATGAAAATGATGAACTTTTTATAATAATAATAATAACAATAATTATAGTACTCATGTTCCTGCAACTCTGAATTTAACAAAAATCGTTCTCTTATTTCTGCAAATAAATCTTTTAAATAAATTTCCTTCGTATCGTATTAAACTACCAGCTTGCGAGGTGGGTGTGATTTAGTAGGCGTGGCCTCACACGACTTGATGAGGCAGAGCCATCGGATGTCCTTCGGGTGAGACAATGTGCTGAGGGGGCGGGGCATGACCGCTCCCATTTAACGAGGTACCTAATCTCATTCCAGTCCAGACAGCAGCAGGGGGAGGAGCAAAAACGGCCGGAGTAGCCATCGTTGTTTGAACAGGTCTCGTGGGCGTGGCCGACACCAATAAATTAAAATTGGGCGGAGTTGGTAAAAGCGGTGGACGGACGGTTGAGTGAATCTTTGTCTCAATGGACTGGATGTGAGTTGGAGTTGATATGGGGACTCTGGACAGTGAAGGATTTATCTGTTGAAAAGTAACAGGTAATCCTCCAGTACCGGCCGGTAATGCCGGAGACATGAATACATGAGAGGGCGTGGCCAACTGATGTGGGAGGTGTGACGAGGGATACATTGTAGGCGGGGCCTGAAGCGTTGTTGGAACGACAGACGCGATCCCTTGATGACTTAACCCATGAGAAAGGACAGGATGAATGGGCGGGGCCATGCTACCATGGATACCATCAGCTCTCTCTATATAAGAAGGATGGACTGGCCTTATTGTCTGTACCATATCAATAGGAGGAGGCTGCGCTTGAACTCTACTCTTTACAGGTTGATAGCTCTGTATAGCAGGAGGAGGAGGAGGAGGGTATGAATGATGAGGAGTGAACGGTACCATTAGAGGAATAGGCTGGGACCCGCCCCCAGGAGGAGGGGGAGGGGCGGGGTAATGAGGTATCGACTGGAGGACCGGCTGTGATGAAGACTGAGCTGAAGCTGAAGAATGATTGACAGGATTCAACCTACTGGTACTAACACTCGTGGTACCAGATACGTGACTTGTGGTTGGTTTTGATCTCTTCGAATGTTGTTGTTGTTGTTGTTGTTGTTGTTGTTGTTGTTGTTGTGATGCAGTGAGTACAGCAAATTGTAATTGATGGAGTACATGCAGCAATTGAGGAGGTGGCTGGTTAAGCAGTGACTGCTGTTGTTGGGGTCCTGGTGGAGCTGATGAGAGGACGGCAGTTGGAGGGCCCTTTGCTAGAGATGAGGAGGTTGTCTTTGTTGACTTGGGCTGCTTGCTTGTTGGTTTTCCTAGTACAGTGGTAACCAGTGGAGTTGTAGATGGGGTCAATCCTGTTGAAGATGATGAAGAAAAAGCATTGCTGTTCTCTGGAACTGATCGATGATACGGGACGAATTCGTTAGCGGTGATATTGAGATTTGATTTCACGTCAGAGTGAGGTTCAACTGTAGCTAATATCTCAACACCTTCAGGCTCTGCCCCCAAAGGACCTTCCCCTCCTCTTAGATCAAACGGGTAACTGGACGAGGGTACGCTGGGGTCAACTGGAACAATGGTTGATTGAGGAGGAACAGGAAGGGGTATTGGTTCAGGAATGGGTGTGGTTTGAAGAGGAATGGCTTCACTGATATCAACAGGTGGGACACACACAACAGGACTACTCAAAACTTCAGGAGCCACGCCCATCGGAGGGAGTGGCGAGAGAGGAACAGTTTCGGACTTCCAAGACAAAGGACTATTATTGATATCAGGAACTTCAGGAGGAATGGTGGGGGAAATGGGAACATCCTCTATTACTGGTGGTATGCTCAATGGAACTGGGTCGGAACTGGTCTGACCGGGTACTCTAACCGGTTCCACAGCATGACTAACCATAGGCCTGTTCTTTAAAGCCGAAGCGTATGAAATTGAGCCAAACTTAGACACTTGAGAAGACTCGGACTTTTCCACCAAAGAAGTATCTACTTTAATCTTACTCTTACTGCTCTCGCTGGTAGATTTCGCCGAGCCGACAGCCCTCACCCCTCCTCCTCCCCCTCCTCTCTGGTGTTGCTGCTGGCCAGTAAAACGAGAATGAGAGTTCTTTGATGGACGACTGTCTCCTTCTCCTCCTTCTTCTAAGTCAGGGTCTTCTCTTGATTGGTCAGTAGGCATTACCTGCAGCAACACCAGAGAAGAGAAGAGAGAGAGAGAATCTATAATTGTACCTATCATCATTATTAATATTATGTTTAACAGTATATTCTCATTATTTTAAGTAGAAATAGAAAATCATGTACAATTTACATGATGACATAGAAATGCTTTCGTTACACAATAAAATAAATGTTTAATGATAATACATACAAGTAATCATGATAATAATAATAATAATAATAATAATAATAATAATAAATTGATAATAATAATGCAAGAGATACATTGTTACCATGTTCAACAACATAAATATGCATGTACATGTACATGTATCAATGTCACATAAAAGTTATGAAAATGAAAAGAGTGAGAGAGAGAGGGAGAAAGAATGAGGAAGAGGACAAACATAATAATAATAATATAATAATAATAATAATTGTTCAATAAATGTTAATTTATTTTTTGGAGTGATAACTATAATGATATACCTTGCTATGTTTGTTAGTGCCACTTCCACTGTTCCAACCTCTTTCACCCCTCTCCCCTCCTCTCTCCCCCCTCTCTCCTCCTCCTCTCTCTCCTCCTCCCTTCTGTCCAGCATGTGAACTTGAAGTTTTATGAGAAGACGATGTTCTAGTGTTTGATCGACCTCCTCCATCAGTACGAGCTGGGGGCGGAGTATAAAATCGATCGTTCTAAAAATAAACATAATAACTAGCTACGTGTTACTATAAATAAACTCACATTTTGATTTCTCTTGCTATTAGTTGTTCTTTTCTTGTCTTGTGGCTGAGTTTTTGAAGACGTTGAAGGCGGAGCCTGTCCCTGCCTTGAAACAGGGTTTGATTGAAAGGGCGTGGTCTCTTGTGGATGTGGCTTGGAACCAGGTGGTTCTAGAATTGGATCTAATTGAGGATCAGTTTTTACCTAAAGAGAAAAACGGAGTTAAAAGTTATTTTACATGGCATCCATGCTTCACAAAATTAACACATGTACATTATACATGTACACTGTTGACAACTTGATTGATTCATAAAAACATAAAAACATGTACATGTAAAAACTACATGGGCATACATGTACATGCAGTAAATAAATAAATAAATTACCTTAAATTGGTCTGTGAGAGTAGAGTCAATAGCTTCAGAGAGTACATGTAACTCTCCTCCACTGGACTTCGGCTGAAGAGCGAAAGTGGGCGTGCCCGAGTTATTATTATCAAACAGTCTATAGTTATTTTCACTCCGTCTCTCATGAGAGATAGAAGACGAGTCCTTATTACTGGACTGAGATCGTGAGGATTTGTCTCCGATGGCTCCATATTGACCAGCAGTGGTGGGAGGGACGACAATATCGCTATCCAAACTCGGCTCTTTCTTCTCCTCCGTCTCTGACCACACCTCTTTTGGAGGGTGTGGCGCCGATTGACTCCAAACTCGGGATTGTTCCACGGGTTGTTTAGCTCCTCCTCCTTTTCCCGGGCGGTTCTCCTCCTCATATTGATGTTTAGGTGGTGGCCCGTTCCTCCTTTTCTTCTCTTTGTCTTTTTGTTTTTCTCTCTTGGAAGAGCCAACGACAGTGAATCCATCATTGTCGTGAGAGCCATGTTCTGCCCCACCCACTGGACTGCCAAGCATTAGAATACCCTCTGGGAATATTTTTGGTGTTGGTAGCAACCCGTCCGATTTCTTAGCCCCGCCTCCTCCAGGTGAGACCACACCCACTCTAGGGATCATGGGCGGAGTCGATATAAGAGGAGGATCAGGTCCTTCGTAAGATCGAGTATTATCAGGTTTCTTATTTGGACCTTCTAAAGCCCCACCTACCTCCTTGACTCCGCCTGTTTTCCCGTCGTTTCTCAAATCTCTCTCTCCTCCTCTCTCTCTCCTTGTCTCTCCCTCTGGCTGTTTCTTCATTTCTTTTGGTGCTTTCTTGTTCTTCTCATAGTCGGTTAACAAATCATCATCTTCCCAGTCAGAACCGCTCTCAATGTATTCCAGTTCATTATAATAAGAAGAGGATTGTTGCTGCTGTGGCTCTGTTTCTCTGTAATCTCTCCCTCCGTCTCTCCGACCCCTCCCTCCTCCTCCTCCACGACCACCACGCCCCCTTCTGTTACTACGGTAACCAGCACCAAAGGTAACAGAAGGGAATGAAGTGGGCGTTGTCTCGTTTTGTCGACTGTAGTGATCTCTTCGACCCCGCCCTCGTCCAATGTTGTAAGATCTTCTGTCGTCTTCTATCCATTCGTAATCATCTGGATGAGGTCTCTGGGACGATGGTGGTGGGTGTGGCTTAATCTTAATATCGTGAGATTTTGTAGTGGGTTTGGATGTGCTAACAGTATCCTGAGATTTACTACTCGTGTCTTGAGATTTACTGACGGTGTCCTTAGATTTACTGAGAGTATCCTGAGATTTAGTGACAGGGCCTTTCGGTCTATCCTGCGGTTTGCTGGACCTAGTATCCTGAGATTTACTGACATCACCAGATTTAGTACCTGCAGAAAAAAACAATAAAATCAATTTAGTATGAAAGGAAAGGCTGACAGATTAGCTCAAACTTTCTACACAGCATTAGGACATCAATATGTATCAGAAAATATAATAAAAATTGGGGGTCATTTCGGAGCCAATTTTCTGAAAAAAACCATGGGCTATAGTACAGGGATTTTTTCAAAAATTGGCCCATTTTTAAAAATGCTCATAACTCGAAAAATTTAAGTTGGAATCAGCTCAAACTTTCTACATAGCATAAGTACATCAATATGTATCAGAAAATATAATAAAAATTGGGGGTCATTTCGGAGCCATTTTCCCGAAAAAACCATGGGCTATAGTACAGGGATTTTTCAAAAATTGGCTGATTCTTTAAAATGGCCGTAACTTGAAAAATTGAAGTCGGAATCAGCTCAAACTTTCTACACAGCATAAGTACATCAATATGTATCAGAAAATATAATAAAAATTGGGGGTCATTTCGGAGCCATTTTTCCGAAAAACCATGGGCTATAGTACAGGGATTTTTTCAAAAATTGGCCCATTTTTAAAAATGCTCATAACTCGAAAAATTTAAGTCGGAATCAGCTCAAACTTTCTACATAGCATAAGGACATCAATATGCATCAGAAAATGTAATAAAAATTGGAGTAATGTTAAACAAAATTTGACAACCCAACACTGGGAGTTGAGACTTACCAATAACACTAGACGTAGTATCCTGAGATTTACTGAGAGTATCCCAAGGCTGTTCATGTTCAGTAGGAGACGGTCTTCCAGTTTGCTTTGGCTTCTTATCCCTGTACCGTACATCCTCAGTATATCTCTGTGCACTCTCAGTATATCTTTGTGCATCTTCAGGATATCTTTGCGCACCCTCAGTATACCTCTGTTCCCTCTGATGCTTCTGCTGCTGTGATCTTTTATTACCTTTATACTCGTCTTCTAGCTGAGTTTGCGAGTGTGATCTACGTTCATCTTGTGGGCGGTTTCTACGACTATCTTGTGGGTGTGGTCTTTGTTCATCCTGTGGGCGTGGTCGTCTATCATCTTGTGGGCGTGTTCTTTTTTGCTCGTCATGTGGGTGTGATATTCGATCATCTTGGTGACGTGGTCTATTCTCAGTCTCAAATTGTTCGGTTTTTCCTTCTGGCTTCAAGTGGGCAGAGTCCCGATCCTTTAGTTGCTGCCTACGTTCAGATTGTGGTTTTTGGGTCTGAGTCCTTCGCTCATGAGGTAAAACTGGACTTGCTGGTTTTTGGCTCTCGCCCTGAGAGCCACGCCTTCTCTCGTCCGACTGCTTCTCAGTCCTACGCTCTGGCTTATGTTCATTCTGATATCTCTGTTCCTGTTTCGAGGAATGAGAATCAGGCCTGTTACTACTCCTCCTTGGTGCATCAGTCTGATCTCTCTCCCAGTTGCTCTTATTATTATTATTTCCACTCCTCCATCTTTCTTCTTCTCTCCCTCCTCTATACTCATCCCTTCCTCTGTTATCGTATCCTTTGCCCCTCCCACCTCCCCCACCCGCTTTCCTCGGCTCATCCTTGTCGTCGCTCTGTCGTCTCTCCTGTTTCTTTCCCCAGTCCTTCCTGTCTCTCCTCTCATCAACCCTCTCTCTTCCTTCTCTCCTGTTATAATCAGGATCTCCTTTCCTGCTATAATCAGAATCTCCTTTCCTGCTATAATCAGAATCTCCTTTCCTGTTATAATCAGGGTCTCCTTTCTTCTGTTCTTTTCTTTTCTCTTCTTTTCCATAAGTCGGTGAGGGCGTGTGTTGTTGTGGTGGTACAGGAGAATCATTTTGAAACCTCTTTCCCTTCCTCCCCTTGTTTCCCTTATGGCCTGAACCAGTGTCTTCAATAAACACGTCATCAGGTGAAGGAACTGATCGTATCGCTAGCTGTTTCTCGTTCTTCCCTCCCTTTCCTCCTCGAGGGGGTCCGGTGCTGTCACCACTTGACATTCGATGATATTTCCGGAACTTTTCTTCGCTCGTCTTTCCCTCTGGCTCGTACAGGACCTTATCAGATGCTATTGGTCCTCTGTCCTTTATATCATAAACTTTATTATCGTCTTCTTCAAATGATGGTCGTCTCTCTTCTCTCTCATCACTGCCCCTACTAGTCTCCTCATTTCTACGTCCTCCCTCCTCTTTTCTCTCTCCAGCTCCGCCCGCTAGACTCAACGGCTGTGAGGTAGGGACTTGACCCCAGGCCATTTTAACACGTGATTCTGATTGGTCAGATGATCTGTTAGGATCAGTCTGAGGGGCGTGGCTGGGATCGGTCTCTTCGGCTAGGTCCCGTATTAATATCTTCTTTGGAGCGTTACGAGTGATAGGCGGAGTGTCTGGAGTAGGTGGGGTCTCACCAATGACTCCACCCATATCTGACTGAATCGGGGATGCTCGATCTTTCTTTAATATCAGTGGGTGTGGCTTAGAGACATGGCCTTCCCTTTCGTAACCTTCTCTATAACCTCCTCTCTGCTGGGGGTGGCTGTTACCATGGTGATAAGAGTGTGAATGATAGCGATCCTCAGTTGAGTACATGTCACCTCTCGTTGAGTGTGTGGGTGGAGACACACCTCCTTTACGGCCATAGTCATCATCTTCTTTCTTGCTTCGTCTTTTTTGGTCAAACTCTTCGTCTGACGAGTCCTCAAACACGACCTCTTTACTGTAGTCGATGTCTTCGTGGTGCCCCGCCCATCCTTCATCTTCGTCATCATCAGGTAGGTCAATAGGACGGGTTATTGAGGAGGCGTGGCCTGAGGATGATGGATCTCCTCCTCCTCCACCTGGCTGTTTCCTTCTCCTCTCATCGTGTGTGGCACTGTGACCAGTGCTGGCGGCTGTTGATAGGGAACTGTGACCTGGAGGAGGCATATCACTAGGAGAGAAAGAAATGATGATAATAATCAACAATTATGACATGTAAATTTATAAATAACAGTTTAAATAATAAATAGCAATCAAAACATGACAATAACAACAATCATTAAATTCATTAATAGAAGTGATGAAAAAGAAATGAGTATACATGTACATGTATAATAATAATAATAATAATTACCAGAAGTAAGACATGTTGTAAGGATCATTGGAAGACTGTGAACGAGACTGAGGAGGAGGAGGATAAGGTAAGTGTCTCTGTTGTTTAGGACCCTGAGAGAGAGAGGGGAGAGAGAGAGAGGGGAGAGAGAGAGAGAGGGGGGGGGAGGGGAGAGGGGAGAGAGAGAGAGGGGGAGGGGAGAGAGAGAGAGAGAGGGGGGGGAGGGGAGAGAGAGAGAGGAGAAAAAGAGGGAATCAAAAAGAGAAAGAAGAAGTAAAAGAGAGAGAAAGAATAGGAACAAAGAAAGATAAAGAACAAGAGAGGGAGAGAGAGAGATGTGCATAATTTATAAATGCAGTGATTCATTAACATACTCTTGGTTGTTGTCTATAAGATCGTTCATAGTTGCTCGGTCTTGATCTGTTCTCTCGATGAGCATGAGGTAGTGACGAGGACTGGTAGTGGTGGTGGGTGTGGTGGGGCTGGGCAGAATGGGCGGAGCCACTGGAACGAGGCAAGGTATCGTGTCTCGGAAAATGAGACTTTGAATCGTGAGAGGGCGGGGCTATATATAAATTAAAAAACAATATTTGAACATTGGAAACATGTACATGAATCATTACATGTACATGTACATGCATTTTAAGAATTAAAAAAAGAAAAGCAGTAAACATATGAACAATACTACTGTATATACTACATATCAGGGTTTCCCACAGGATTTTGGTATAGTACTCATACAGCTTCTTGCCAGTGGATTATCAAGTTAAGTTGCTTAAAATAAGGCCAAAGAACCTGTACTATAGTACAGGGTGCTTCAACAAAAATTACAATGAGGTAGTTTCCCATTTTTATAACTTTTCTGATACATATTCAAGTCCTTATGCTGTGTATCAACTTTGAGCTGATTTTATGAATTTCTAAAGCTGCTCCAAATGCCATATACTACTACTTGTCAGTTCATGAAGGCTGCTGTTTACAGTTTATACAGCAACGCAAAAAGCATCTCTTCAAAAAACAGATATGCTTTGAACCTCCTGTTTCGTGCTTTTTGATGCTATATAATCTTCTGAGTACAAAGCATAAAACAGGCACAAAATGATAGATTGCATCATTCTTATCATTGTGTAAACATAGTTTGCAGAGAAACCATGATCATACCATATAGCTGGTAATTTTGGAAACTTTCCGTGAATTTGGCAATTTGATAGCTAAAAGTTTAACACTCCAAAACTACCAGCTTTAAGGTATAAATGAATTTTATCAAACAACCAACAATACCTTCTTGGTGATGACGTTTTCCAAGTTCTTCTTTCTCTTTCGCTGATAGTTTCTCTTGTTCAGTGAGAGAAGGAAACTCGTCTTGGAAACCATGAGCAAGAGTAGGGGGCACCTCAGGCTTCTTCCAACCTTCTACAAGAAATAAAAACAAACAAACAAACAAATAAATAAATAAATAAATAATAAAAGAGAACAATAATAATATAGAAATAACACTAATACATGTAAATAAAAATACAAAAATAGTATAAACTAATAATAAATTTCTCTCTCTCTCTCTTACCTTCTCTCTTTTCTAATTTTGTTCCTTTCTCCTCTTCGTCCTTTCCTTCCTTACTCCACCCTCCTCCTGCCCCTCCCCCTCCTCCCTGAGGTGTCAGGCTATCATATTCATCCACAGCCGATCGTTTCATACTCTCCAGCTGTACAGGAGCTGGCATGCAGTGAGAATTTTTACCTCCTATTAAATTAATAATAATAATACTAATAATAATAATAATAAATTATATTTAAAAAACAATTAATTATCATAATATTTCCATATTAAGTACAGTACGTTACGGTGCATCCTTGGATATTTCAGGATATTCTTGTATTATGAATTAACAAAATTTTATATCACATACACTTACTTGTCAGTCCTCCCGTCCCTCCTCCCCCATAGCCCCCTCTGGGGTTCTGGTAACGGGATTTTCCACTGGAATTCCCCCCAGGGCCATCCTTACGGGTTCCTCCTGACATGAGAATGGAGCAGCATCAATGAGAGGGTATAGGAGAAACTACATATTGGGAAAAAATGGGCGCCATTTTGATTTATACATTACAGAACTTACCTAGTCTCTTTTCAAAGGCAGTGAGTGTGTTCAGTGTTCAATATGCGCCTCATTAAATCCTCCAGTAGACAGGGAGAGACTCGGGGACTCTGAAGGACAAAGATGGCGGGTGATTCGTTGGATTTTTTGAAAAAGATGGCGGCTATCTAGGGGAAGAGATAGTTATACGGAGAGTCCACGGAGAGGGGCATTCCCTAAAGATTACGGGATTAAGGCGGAGTAACCACTCCTATTCAAAATGGCGTCGGCTGAGAAGGTGATCAGAATCAGCCAATTAGATGCTTTGGAGCTAGATAACGAGCTATTCGGAACTATGCAAGATCGATTCTTTCATATATTTGGATTTCTACCTAGTTCTGCGTTAATAGAGAGACTTAGACCAGAATTGAAGACACTTTTAACATGTCTGCTCTACAAGTTCTCATTATTTCAAGCTGGGAATTGCACTTTTGGTCAAGGATTCATGTCTCTTCAATACACACAGAAAGACAACTCTCATCTCACCTCAAGACAAAAATGGCTACTACTTTGTCTTCTCCTCCTACCTCCCTGGCTATCAGAAAGATTTGAAAACGTAACAAATCTATTTTTCCCTAATTTCAGAGCTGATAGGGTACTCAATATTGCAAAAGGACTCTTCCAACTATGCAATTTATTAAATTTTTGCTTGTTCCTCCTCTATGGTCAGTATCCCTCATTGATAGAGCGTCTTTTACATCTCAAAATGACTCCATCCAGACCTCAGGTACTACGAGAACTGAGTTATGATTACATGAATAGAGAAATCATTTGGTTTGGGTTTTCCGAGTTTCTTTTCTCCGTGTTACCACTACTCAATTTACAATCATTAAAGAACTCTTATAATAAGATCCTTCACAGTTTGGTTGGTGATAGAGAGACAGCAGTGGCTCCTAATGTGTGTGTGTATTGTAATGGAGTACCAGTACTACCTCAAGTATCAACTTGTAGACATTTATTTTGTTATTATTGTATTGCTGCTAATGTACTAGCTGATTCTAACTTTCCTTGTCCTGTATGTAATGAAAGAGTGACTGATTTCACTCATTATAATGTATAACATAGTTTGTATACTACGTACATGTATGTATTAACTTCCTCAAAAATGAATAATTAAAAAAAAATCAAACTTTTTGTTGCAAAGTTTTACAAACAAAATGTAATCAAATTATTTTAAAAAGCAATGTAGCATAATTATTAATAGCAGATCAATAATTCAGTTGATGCTCTTTTCTGATATTTCTAGCAACCTCCTTATGTCCAATGTCATCTAAAGCTTTGGCGAGTGATGCCCATGATTTGTCTTGTTGCTTGGTGCTGTCTTCTCTTTTCAACCAAGTATAAAAACATTTTTCAAAGCATTTTTCAAGACATTCTCCATATTCTTCATTAATTTCATCAAGTGTAGAATCTTCAAGTCCCAGTCGACGGCCAAGTTTTTTCCAGTCACGATCAGGGAAATGATTTTGCTTCAGTGTGTCAATAACATAATTCAAATCTTTAAGGTCTTTAATTTAACAAATGATTAAATATAATATTAGCATTAAAAATTTACTTACTCAGTTCTCTTTTTTTCTCTCCTCTTACATTATGAGATGCTATTCCTGGATAACGAAAATTTCCTCTAGCCCCTGCCTATAGAATGAGATAGAGTTGTTAAACACAAGTTACATTGCTGATGCATGTTTGTTTACCTTGTCATTTGGATCAGCCCCACCAAATATTGAAAGATTAGCATAATTTGGTTTATTGGGCAGCACATCACAAACTTGCTTTCCACGTGATTCTGATGTTTCTGGTGTTGGGTTGATGAAATCCTGTTTCCCCAATTTTATAAAGTTTTCGACAAAATACGCTACTCTTGTTCTTGGTTTATCAATAGGGTATTTCAAATTATCAGGATCAATGACAAAGGCTTCTGTATTAAGAGTAGGACAAAATTTTCCACGAATAGCCAAAACATCGCCAATCAATCGTCTTCTCAACATAATCATCTTAGATTCTTTTGCCCCCTTTTCACATGACATTAAAACTAAAACACATTGATTTTCATCAAGAAGTTCTAGCAACGTAGTGATGCCATTGCTATCAGTCCATTTTATGCCGTTCTTTCAAAATAAACACTGAAATTTACTGTGTCTAGTTCTGGAAGCTTCTTCAACTGCATATTTCATGGAAAAGTGCAATAATAGAGAATTGAAGAACCGTTGTGGAAATAAATCATGAAGATTTGTACATTTTAGGTACCACCCAAATACAAACTCATGAGGTATAATTGGTCTTTCTATGGTCACAGATGATGGAAAAAAAAGACAAAGTATGTCTTTTAGACCAATATCTTGACCTTTTTCCACAAGATTTGTCTGTATCAAAAAAAATGGTGAAACCATATGGCATAGCCCCATGCTTTCCAAGAAACTAATTAGCATTACAGAATCATAGTCTGGGAACATTTTTTCAAGTTTGGAAACAGTAATGATGCCATTATTAGGAATTTTACTTCCTTCAAATGGTGAAAAAAGGACACCATCTACATGTTTCAATAGTACTTCCTTGTTTTTAACAACCCACATCCTGCCGCTATGACGAGTTTTAATGCAACTGGAATCAGATGTCCATACTTCTTCGTTGTCATCTTCACAATTGAGATAGTAAATTAAACCAGTTGAATGCAATGAAGACAATATAGATAGGATCTGTTTACCATCATGAGTGGGAAGAAAACATTCACCGACTTTTGTTGCTGCATCATGAGCGATGTCATTTAAAGCTAAGATATCTTTTTCATTTTCTTGAAGTAATTTGTACATCATGTGGCAATACAATGTTAACGATTTTTTATTATTATCACGAATATAGCTACAGGCACTTTGTAAATTTTTGAGAAATGAATTTATGTCGGCACCATTAAGCCTACGGCAATCTAAATATACAATAACATCGTCATTTCTAAGCAACTCCTTTTTAATTTTTCGTCTAATCATTCCTCTCTCTTCTTCAGTATTTAAACAATCAACATGGCTTGCAACTACAATTACTTTGCAATCATCTTTTGCTTTTTGTATTTCATTCCTAACAACTGATAGCCATTGCTTAAGGTGTATCAAATAGTCACTGTTGGACACGTCAACTACAATGATGAAAACAGCAGCAGATCCTTGTAGGATATTCTCAATAACAGCGGTGTGACTTAAATAGTATTGCGATTGGCCAGCAAAGTCATGAAGAACAATATTTTGAAGCTGATGGTGCCTTTTAAGGTTAATGGGAACAATACCTGCAGTAAGTGGTGTAATTTCATTTTCATCAACATATCTTGCTAAAATAGGCATAGAGCTACCAGTCTTTTCAATGACCTTACTAAGTGTACTTTTACCAGCTC